GTCTCACCATACGCTCTTTCATCATTCTCTGAAATACAAGAGATAAATTACTGAGCATTTCAGAGCAGTCATGTTATATGCTGTTTCTCACTGCTCTAATGAGATAGACAACACTGATAGAAATATATGTACATATATGTACATTTTCTAAAATCAGAGTAGTCCTAGATTTTTTTTTTTTTTTATGATGAACCAGCACCAATTTTTGACCACAACAGCAGAACTCCCCACATTCTATCCTTGAATGTTTTCTAATTAGGATTAGCAGGTGACCAACATCAAATTAAGTATGACTAGCATAAAAAGTATTACTGAATTATCGTTAAGGGTTAGATGATCACAATGTTAATACAAATTATTTTATACCAATCACTGAATTGACTTAGGATAGGGGTTATCACTATATATGAGAGGGCGAGCTTTATTTTCCGTTCAAAACTTCCAACTCATCTGACTCAGTTCCGTATTAACTAACCCAAACCAGGGATATGCATTAACTCATACAGTTCAGACGTGAGCAACAGCGCGGATGACCAAACAAAGCTTCTTATACAGAACAAATTAGTGAAAGGAACAATGCCAGGCTGCAAAGACGAATGTGACCGGACTGAAGCACCTAGCTTTTTGTTTACATTATTTCAGAGACTACAGAACGTCCAGACTCTGGGCACCCTATTACCACAGTTTATTCATATGAACTGGAAACAGCGTCCTCGCTCTTTTAGCCATGCTGCAAAACCATGGATGCGTGTATCTTTTAATGCTGCTGATTAAATATCTGCAGTGTAGAAAACCTTTACACTCCATCTGGCAGAACAAATGAGGAACACTGTTCTCTTCAGGTTTGGCCTGCTGTTCCTGCAGCCTGCAACCAGTGACAAAACTTACAAGCGTTGTGGTGGGGGCAGAAACTGTGGCTTTCAAACTGGTTAGTTCCTGCTGGATTAATTTTTCTTCTTCCTATAAAATATTAAATTAAAAAAAAAGTGTATAATTTTTGGAGACAAAATACAAAATAAAAGCGAAAGAAAACATTCACTTAATAATATTCCACGATCCTCCAAAACTTTTCTCCCTGTTTCTTGTACTAATGTCTTGCTACTCGTTTCAAGCTCAGAAGACAGTTCTTCGCATCAGTGTTTTCCCAAAACACGCCCTCTGCAGACTACTGCTCTGTGGCAACACAGTCACATTCAC